TAGGTAAGGTTTATCTGAGAACAACTGGTCTTTGCCCAAGATTTATCTACATGACACACAGTAATTAAAAGTACCAGACTGGTGGAACTAACCTTCTTGGATGTTTAACAGACATACTTTGAGGCCTACACTAATTTGGTCAGAGAGACATTAAGGGCAGTTTTTGCTCCTTGCCCTCCTAGGTTGACTAGTTCCAGGGGACTATAAGCATCTCTCAAAATGTCCTGTAATTGTGGTGGGTCACCTGTCCTCTTGATCAAGGAGGTCGAGGAGACCCCACCAGATGGACTCGAACCTGTGTCCAGTCTACAAAGAGGAGGGTCAACACAGCGGAATCATTTCTTCCATGCTTCCAAGTGAAGCCAACCGTGGTCTAGCAGGACCTTTGAATTATCTTTACATAGGCGGAACTGGTAAAAGAAAGGAGCCAGGGGCTCCTCCCAAGCCCATGTGACCCCTGAGGAACAGATTCTCAAAGGACCTTAAGAGTAAAGATAAATCGGTTTATCTGGGCCAACTGTATGGCCTTAAACACCCAAAAGGAAAGTATAACCAAAGATTGAAGCGGCCAGTGTAATTTCTTAAGAGTCCATGTGCCTAGCTAAATGCTACGGAACAAGCAACAATGCCAGATAGGATCTACCTTCTTTTGAGTTGTTGGCCAGGGTGGCCAAAGGGACTCCCAGATAGTAACCCAGTATAGAACTGGGAAAATGAACAGCAGACCCTAATCTTATCTAAAGGAATATTGACAACTGATTGCTGCTAGATGAGGAACAGCTGACCTTCCTAAAACAAAGACCTCTAGATAGGCTGAGTAGATTCACCAGAAGGGCAAGTAGTGGGGAATGGCTGGTGGTGCCGATAGCACAGCAGACAATAGCAGGGATATCAGAGTATAAGGTCTCTAGTGGGGGGAAGGAGGCTATGGGAGGGTGTCACCTGGGAAGTGGGTGTATAGTTGAATAAGATGGTTTGGGATGTTCTGTGTGACATACACACATGATCACAAAAATATCAAGGAAATTTAAAAAATATATTTGAGGAGAAAGCATGGAAATTTACATCATGTTAATTAGTAGAGGTGATAAACGTTGCCATTGAAATCTACTCGATGACTATAGACATACACAGGTGCCAAGGATCCGAGTGCAACTAATTATAACTGATAATGGTCAGATACAGATTAGAGATGCATGCACCAACATCTCAGTGATAGTAGCAAAACAATGAGTCTTTCTGCAGGAACGATATACTTAAAAATGAAATGGAGATCTTTTTTAAAGATTAAAAACTCATTCAATTTTATGTCTTACAGGGCTTATACTGAGTTTAAATATTGTATAACTATTAATTCAACTGTGAATCTAGAAACTTTAAACCACTTATGAAAGAGATGTGCTCTTGCTCTGGAGCATGTTACTGAATATGTTAAAGTTGTAGTGAAATGCTTCTTGTAATCATGTAGTTATTAAAAATTTTAAAAAGTTAAAAATAATTTTTCAAAGCATATAAACTTGCTCCTTAATAATTAGTAGATGTGAAAAATATCACCATTGAAATCTACCTGACGACTTTATATCCATGCTCAGATGCCAAGGAGCTCAGAAAGTAACCGACTGTGACTAGTAATAATCAGATACATAGAGATTAGAAACGCATGTGCAAACATCTTAATGTCAATTGCATTAAAAATGAATTTTTCTGTATGAAACTTTACTTTAATAAATGAAATGCAGATCTTTTTTAAAGGTTAAAACCTCATTTAATGTTATGTTTTATAGGGTTTATACTGGGTACAATATTGTATAACTCTAATAATTCAACTGTCAACCTAAAAATTTACAGCCAAGTTTGAAAGAGATGCATCTTAGCTCTGGAAATTGTTATTGAATATGTCAATGCTGTTGTAATGAAATGCTTCTTCTAAGTATGTGGTTGTTAAATAAATAATTTTTTAAAAATCCTACCTCTTATCAAACTGCAAAAAGACAACTACTTAAAATTCAAAATTGTTAATTATAAAACTATATTGGTAAGGAGGATTGTCTTAGAAAATATTGATATTTATTTCTTCCATGTTTTAGGTGTATTCGACACAAAAATGATTGGGGAGCTCTCATTCTAGTAGATGATCGCTTCAATAATAACCCAAATCGCTATATATCAGGTAAGATTTTTGATTTAAAATAAGTTACTAATAACCTTTGGTTTTCCAGTGGTAAACATCCACATGAGATCTGCCTTACTTTTTTAAAGTGTATAATAAAATATTATTAACTATAAACAACATAGTACATTAAATATGTAACACTTTTAATTGTGAATAACTGAAGCTTCATACTGATGGAATATCGTGCCCCATTTTCCCTTCCCCCATACTTTGGCAACCACCTTCTTTGAGTTTGTGGTTTGAGGACTTCAAGTGACTCGTGCAAGGTTGTCATGCAGTGTCTTTCTTTCTATGACTCTCATGCTTTACTGAACATACTATCAGAGTTCATCTGTGTTGAGGTCTTTGTGTAGGAAGCACATTTTCTTTATTCCTCTGTCAGTAGGCATTTAGGTTGTTTCCAGCTGCTGGATCCTGGGGTCTGCAGTGAACATGGGAGTATGGAGACCTCTTATTTCAAGGAAGAGATCACTGGATTATATATTCCTTCTAGACCAAGAGATATTCACCAACATCAATAATTTGAGGGTTTCCCTTGATTTTTTTTCTATGATTTTTTGTTTGTTTTTGCCTTTTTTTTTTTTTATTATTTTATGTGTAATGAGTGTATTGCCTGCATGTATGTGAGTGTACCCATATTGTGCAATGCCATGGAGGTCAGAAGGGGGCTTCGGATTCCCCTGGAACTGGAGTTAAGGACGGTTTGTAGCTACCATGTGGGTGCTGGGAATTGAACCTGGGTCCTCTGTAAGAGCAGTCAGTGCTCTTGACTGCTGAGCCATCTCTCTAGCCCCTCTTCTATGATTTTTACAGTGTCAGATTTGTGCTTAATTCATAAATAAATTCTTTGGTGAGTTTTTATGTATGGTTAAGAATAAAGATCTAATTTCATTATGTTGCATGTGGATATCTTGTTTCCTAGCACCTCTTTTTTTCCCCCCTTTTCTTATTTGTTCGTTGAGACATACTCGAGCTTTAGGCCATCCTGGACTACATACTGAATTTTGGACCATCCTTAGCTGGTACAATAGTAGTGTGAACGTCATTATAGGTAGAGGTAACCAACAGCTTCTAAGTGAATTAAGGCCTGCTCCATGGGAGGGAACTCATGCCTGGTACTGTAAACCTAGCTAAGAACCAGTGACTGAAGAGGCCCTATTGGAGAAACTACTACTATTTTACTAAATGGGCATAATATAAGACTGCATTCTGAATATGTGTCCTTATACCTATAGATTACTGCAGCTCTCACTCCTCAGATAGCCTTCTTTTTGTAGTAGATCAGTGGTTAATACAGAGAGTCACACATACCTGGTCATAGTGCAGAGAATAAGTGACTATGGAGTGTTCAGCCCTCAATGAGACATCTATATCATTCCTTCCTCCACCTCTCAAGGCTCAGGGAACATTGTGGAAGAGGGGAAAGATAGTAAGAGCCAGAGGTTGGAGAGGACTATTTCCAAATAGTATCTTCTGGACATGACCAGGCCATTGTACTCAAGAACTAATAGCAACTGTAGTTGCAGGCACAAGATCAAGCCATTCAACATTCCAACACAGATAGGGAGGGGCTCATAAGGCCTAACCCCTAGCCGAAGAGCTGTTGAGCTGTTGCTGGGGAAGAGCCGAAGAGCTGTTGCTGGGGGAGGGAGGATGTGGATGGTCCTACACCCAGGTCTATACAGGCAGTATCAATTGGACTCGGTTAGAAGAGGGTATGAAATTGGGAGAGGGATGTGAGGAGGGGGCTGTGAGAGGAGTTAGAGATGGGGGATGGGGGATGGATATGATCTAAGTACATTGTATACATGTATGAAATTAAGGGAGGGGCCTGAAGCTTTGATCCTCTCTCAAGATTATTTCACTTACTTGTTGGTTTTGAAGAATGAATTTTGAGATTTTTTTTATAATAAATGCCATATGGATTTTGATAGAGATTGCATTGACTCTAGTGTCTGGATATTTAAACTTTAAGTCTTCTAGTTTGTGATATGCCATGTCTTTCCATTTACCTATGTTGTCTTCAGTTTTTTTTTTTTAGCAGTGTTTTATAATTATTTGTGTCTCAGTTTTAGAGCTCCTTGATAATGTTCATTCCTAAGTATTCTTTTTGATTTTTTGTATATGTAATTGTTTTCTTAAATTCCTTTTTTGATTTGTTAATGTATAGAAGCAACTAATGTGTTGTTTTTGTATCCAAGTAATCTGCTCATTCTGCCAGTGTGGTCTTTTGAATGAAAGTGTCCTCCATAGGCTCTAAATATTTGAACATTTTTCCCCACTTGGTGGCGCTGTTTGGGGAGGTCTTAGAAGGTGTGGCCATGTTGGAGGGAGCATGTCACTGGAGGTGGCCTTGAGAGTTCTTAAGCCTTGCTGGATCTAAACTCGCACTCTGCTTCCTATGCCTGCTTTAAAGATGTGAGAGCTTAGTTTTCTGCTCTTATTCCAGCCACTTCTGCTGACATGCCTTCCTGCCATGATGGACTCTTGCCCCTTTGGAACCATAAGCTAAATAAACTCTTCCTTTTATAAGTTCCCTTGGTCATAGTGTTTCTATCACACCAACAAAAAAGTAACCAATACAACCAGGTTTTGGGGTTAGGGGTAGTTTGAGGTTTTCTACATATAATACATGGAGAGATAATTTTGCTTTTTCCTTCCTTCTTATTTTCTTACATAAAAGCTCTAGCTAGAACTTTTTATATTAAATAGAAATAGTGACTGTGGCTCTCTTTGCCTTTTTCCTGAAGGAAATGTCTTCAGTGTTTTAACCCATGTGTATAATATGGGCCTTTTTTATATGACATTTATTAAGTTGAAGTAATTTCCATTTATTTCTCATTTGTTGAGAACTTTTATCACAAAATATTTATTTTCATTTTTATGTATATTGAGTAATATGATAATGTCTAGCCTTCACTCTGTTAATGTGATATGTCATGTTGATTTATATATTTTTACTTTTAATTTTTTTTTTTTTTTTTTTTTTTTGGTCTTTTAGAGACAGGGTCTCCCTGTAGCCTGGCTGCCTGGAATTCACTATGTAGACCAGGATGGCCTTGAACTCAGAGAGATCCACCTGTGTCTGCCTCCCAAGTGCTGGGATTAAACGTGTGTGCCACCATACCCGGCCTAAATATTCTATTTTTATTTTATTTTCATGAGTATATTGCCTGCATGTATGTAAGTGTACCCATGTTGTGCAATGCCCACAGAGGTCAGAAGTGACTGTCAGATCCCCTGGAACTGGAATTACAGATAGTTGTTAGCTGCCATGTGGATGTTGGGACTCGAACCCAGGTCCTCTGCAAGAGTAGCCAGTGCTCTTAACCAACAGCCATCTCTACAGCCCCTGATTTTTACATTTGGAACCTTACTTACATCCAGAGGCTAAATCCTCTTTGGGTTAGTGTATGATTGCTATGATAAAAGAGTAAGACTGACCCCTCCCTGTTCTCCAGCTCCTTGTCTGTCATGTGATGTGTTTGTGGCTATACACTTGGCTGGGTTGTGCCTTAATTGCAATACCTGGACTTGATATGCATTTTCTTTTCATTGATGTCAAGATATTTTCTAATATCTTTTAATTTTTTCTTTAACTCATTTCATTGGTTATTCAAGAGAATTTTTCATTTTCATATGTTTTGAAATTCTTTAGTTTTTCTTGTCTATTTAATTCTAATTTCATTCTATTATGGCTGTAAAAGTCTCTTGGTGTGATTTCAGTCTTCCTACTTTTGTTAAGTTTTATTTTGTGACTAGACTGTTTCTGGGAAATATTCCATTGTTTGAGAGGATATACATTCTTCTGCTGCTGGATGAAATGCTCTGTATGCGTCAGTTATGTCTGTTTGATATATGGTGTTTTTCAAGTCCTCTGTTTTATTCAACTTTTGTCTGAATGTTCTATTTCTTACTAAAGATGGGGAGTTAAACTCTCTTATTGTGTTACTCCCTTTCTCTTCAGTCTGTCACTGTTTTCTTTATATGTATGGGTACTTAGATACTAAGTGCATATGTAGTCATAATCATATATCTTCCTGGCAAATCACACATTCATCATCATATCTTTTTTGTCCCTTTTGAAAATTTTTTTACTTAATGTCTATTTTGTCTGGTGGATGTACAACCACCCAAGTTTGTGTATTTTTTTAAATTTTAAATGAGTCTCAATATATGACATGTAGTTGGATCCATTCAGTCATTCTGTGCTGGCAAATCACACATTCATCATCATATCTTTTTTGTCCCTTTTGAAAATTTTTTTACTTAATGTCTATTTTGTCTGGTGGATGTACAACCACCCAAGTTTGTGTATTTTTTTAAATTTTAAATGAGTCTCAATATATGACATGTAGTTGGATCCATTCAGTCATTCTGTGTCTTATTTTTTTTTTTAATTAGAAGAAGCATTTCATTACAACAGCATTAACCTATTCAATAACATTTTTCTGAGCTAGGGTACATCTCTTTCAAAATTGGCTGTACATTTCTAGGTTTACAGATAAATTATTATGCTTATATAATCTTTTACTCATTATAAACTCTATAAGACATAAAATTAAATGAGGTTCCAACGTTTAAAAAAGATCTCCAC